CCAATCAACTTTGATGGATGTTTTGGATATGAGACGTGTATCCGCGAACACCATGGTAATGCACCTGCGCACAACTCGTTATTAGTTAGTAGTTTTTTGGCCAAAAACAGTACTTCCATCATGCCCCAGCCACCATATTCACCAGACTTGGCCCCCAGCGACTTTTTCCTCTTCCCAAAATTGAAAAAGCCCATGAAAGGACAAAGATTTGCCACGATTGAGGACATTAAGGCTACATCGCTGGAGGAGCTCGAAGCAATACCCAAAATAGCATTTCAGAAGTGTTTTGACGACTGGAAAAAGCGTTGGCACAATTGCATTGTATCTGAGAGGGATCATTTTGAAGGGGATAACATAGTTTTAGATGAATAAATAAATGTTTTTTTATAAAACTGAAAAGTCACCTTACTTTTTGATCACACCTCGTATATACTAGTGGAGCTTCGTCCGCCTGCACGCTTCGCGTGCCAACTCCTTAAGAGTATTCAAAACTTGAAAATTTAATAACATATAACAACAATAAAGATTATATAGCTTTTTTTATATTGAACAAATTTTAGAATCACAAAATAAATCATGCTTTAATTTACCTACACCAAAACAAATGGAGAATAAAAAAGAGGACATAAATAAAGAAATATGTTTCAGTAGAGAAATGTTCCACTTGATGTATAAAAGTTTAAATAATGACCTACAAATATTTCATGTTATTTGCGAACGAAAAAATTAAAATTTTGTTACAGATTGTCCTGGAGAATCGGGAAAAATTTATTTACATAAAACGTTAATTAATTTTTTTTTTTTCTCAAAATAAAAAAAATTTGTCAATGGCATGGACTGGCATAGCATCAATTTTGCTTCTAAAGGAGATGATAAGTCATAGAACTTTTAGACTTCCTTTAAATCTCAATGATATACAAAATAGTGCGTGTTTAGAATTTGAGTCTGATAAAAAAAGATTAAGAATAGTTGATTTAATTATTTGGGATAAGGCTTCAATGATTCCAGAAAAAGCATAATAAATATTAGACAGAACGTTAGAAGATTTATATAATACTGAAAAATGTTTTGGAAATAAATTGATTATCATAGGAGGTAATTTCCATCAGATTCTCTCAGAAATAAAAAACGGTAACAGAACAATTATAACTGAATAAACTATTAAATCTTTATCTTTATGAAACTCATTTTTATTTTTAAGACTAGAAATCAATATTCGTTTTAACGATAAATGATTTTCAAAATTATTATTTGAAATTTGGAAAGAAGAAATAAAAACTTGTAACATTTCTAAAAATTGGATATCAAATGATGTATGTCCCCAAAAATTTTCTAATATCTGTCATTGTTTGATGAATAGTGTTATACTAACATCACATAACGAGTACACGGGTTATTGAAATAATAAAATACTTAAAAAAAATTAAATGGAATTAAAAGAGTTGATAAATTGGACGATAATATTTACTTAAATTTTAAGGTGGAAATGTTGAGTAATATTCGTAAAGGATTACTAATTTATGATTTAAATCTAAAAATTGGTACAAAAGTGATGCTACTTAGAAATTTAAGTATATCAGATGGACTGTGTAATGGAACACGCTTACGAATCATGAAATTATTACAGTATAATATAGATGGAGAAATAATAACTGGAGAAAAAATTGGAAATAAAGTCTTTATTCAAAGAATAACTTTAGACACAGGAAACAGCTCAACATAACCTTTTATTTTGTATCGTCAACAATTTTCAATCGTTGTGCATTTGCTTTTACAATAAACAAATCTCAAGGTCAAAATTTCGGTAATGTAGGTTTGTATTTTAAAAAATCCTTATTTTCTCATGGTCAATGATACGTGGCTTAATCGAAAAGCAAAACTAAAAATTATTCATTTATTCCAGTAAAAGAGAAGAAAATACAGAAATAGAAAATATTTTTGGAAAGAAATTTTACATAATTAAATTGACTTTACTTGATAATTCGTTACTTGATAATTTGGATTGATGAATAAAAATTTTTAATGAATCTACAAAATTTATGGTAATAAATAAAAGATATTACATGTATACATATTTCATCGTTTAACAATAATACATATTGTAATGAATTCTTTTTCTACTCATGTGTACTTTTATGTTAAAAAAATTAAATCTTAAATAGCTTAGTATACATGTTATAAAAAAATTATTATTTATTAAAAATATTATTAATACAATAAATGTATAAATTAATAATATTTATAAATATTGTCAGTTATTTTCCTAATTCAAAAGTGAGTACTGGGAGTTCTGTCTCTTCGTGGTTATGATATAGCTGAATTTAATAGCTTATTGACTTAACCTCATTACATGAGGTGATACTTCCATAGTTATTGCTATTTAATAATTTTGTAACGTTTTAATTAGTTTATGTATTTGTATCATGTCATACATGTACGTATAAAGAATAACAAATATTACATTGTTCTAAAATAATAGTAACACAAAAAAGTTGAGTTCACCAAGAACTTTATACTTAATAATGAATTTAAACAATTTTATGATAATCGTATAACAATATATTATTTATTAATATTAATACATGATTAAGCATGAGTTCTATGATACTAATGTGCTTAAAATCCATCTGTTTGCCTTCTTGGCGGTGTGGACAAATAGATGACAATTTTTTTTACCTTTACCAAGAAAAATAGTGTCGGGGGGGCTGTAAGGGGACGAGAAAAATGGTGTGGTTGGCTGTGAAGGGGATGTGGAAGGAGGTTTCAGAAAAGAGGTAAAAATGTCAAATTAACGGTGAACACGGTCGAATTTCAACTTATATGTGGGGGGGCTGTGGTGAGGGATATGTGGAATGCCCCACAAAAATAACTATATTATATAGGGACATATATATATGTATATACCTTCCTATATTATATTTATTTGTGAGGGGCTGCCCACACCCCTCTCCTCGGCCCCCCTCACTAACATGTAATCCCCCCCCAAACCTTCCTCTAAACAAAAGAAAAATGTGTTTTTGTTAATGGAAAATTAATCCTCGGTGTCATGATTTACCCCCCTTGGCCCCTCTTACATTTTGTATTCTTCCTCCTTAGCCACCCCTCAGCCCTTCCTAAAAACGAGAGAAAATTTGTATTCATTCCATTGGAAAATAACCCAATAAAATTTTTGATTGCCCCCCTTATACCTTCTGGCCACCTCTTAATTTGTTTTGTGCCTGCTGGTCCTCCTTGTTCTCTTTTTACGCTTTTCTTAACCCCCCCCCTCAGTCCCCCTCGCCCCCCCCCGTCAAAACCAAGCAAAATTTTTTTATTTTAATGTGCAATTAACCCAATGAAATTTTTTATTACCCCTGTTGTTACAACGCCAGCTCACCCCCACCCCCCTCATTCTCTTCTCATGCTTTGCTCCCTTCCCCTTAGCTGCCTCTCATAAGGAATAAAATATTCTTGATTCGCATGTGAGATTTATCAAATACAATCTTGGTCACTGGTTCAACAAACATTAATGTAATTTGGTATTTTTTTATCTATTTTATCCACTCTGCCCATAAGGCAAATAGAAAGGCGCGTTGATCTTTTTTTTGTTGTTATTGTGTAAATATGTGTACGACCTGACTTATGTCAGTGTAACTATAAAATTTGATATTATAATAAAACAATAACATTAGTGGAGATCATCGCCAATTAGTCTTTTTGTGGAACCATAGAAATGTGACATACATGAAAAATGATATTCATATTTTAAATTATTTTTTTTACACCGCCCATGAGGCGAATGAACAGGTGCGTTGATCTTTTTTTTGTTGTTATCGTGTGCCCGTGTGTAGGACATGATATACGTACGTGTAACTATAGAATTTTATGTCATGATGAAATAATAATAACTTTAGAGATCATCAGTCTTTTTGTTCTACCATGATAATGTACTTAATATAAAAATGACATTCATTATATAATACATAAATCGAAAGTACTCCATGAAAAAATTTTGTAACATGAAAATAGGTAGCAATTTATAAACATTAGCAATTTGCTGGTAGAATAAAATAAAACTATTTGAAAAATTTCCTAATACTGCATATTCAGTCTATACCCGTTAGCATGTTGTGAGTATCGTATAAAAGTAAAGATAGACTGCTTGTTCCAATCGTAAGATTCGCTAGTATACAAACGACGTTTTCAGTAAAACTTGGTCGTGACATAGATGAACGAATCTCGTTGTAGTGGTACCCCCCATGCCATAAGAGTGCAAGACCTACTCCCGAATGGAAATTAAAAGAAGACGTAAACTGGGGCCAAGCTTGGCTGCCATGCTACCTACCTTGGCCGCAGCTTAGCACTTTAGTTAACATACATTTTCCTGTATTATAGAGTTATCTCAGTCGGGCATTCCACACACCCCCCCTTACCCCCATTCNACTGTTATATTATATAGTTAACAGTTTGGGGCATTCCAAGCCAATAAGATCATGTTTTTTTTCTTACAATAAATTTTTTATTCATCTATTTTTGCACACGGCCCAGGAGGCAAATAGATGGACTTTATACATACTAAAAATTAATAACCATTCTATTTATACAACTAAGTATGACCAGAAACCAATTTATATTAATTGTTTTTCAATTTATTTGTAAGTATAAAGTTCTTGGTGTGCTAAGCTTTTTTTTGTTAGCATTTATGATAAACTATGCGTAAAATTTAAAAGTGAATGTATTATACTATTTTGTATATGAGTTAATAATACCAATACATACATAAATTTAAATTTTATTTAGTTAACTAAACGAAATTTTTTTTTTTTTTGAAAACTGAAAATCAAAGCTGTTTTCATTTGATCTTTTAGACATGATTAACTATTATAAAATACAAAATTATGATGAAATATGTAATATAACGTCGAAAAAATTTCATATACAACTGTCTGATTCGTTATGAAATACTGTATCACCTAAATGATAATTGACAACATCCGACACTACATTCAGTTTGTGTGCGCTCATTGTTCTGCTAATTTCTAAAAATTATTTCATTTAAATTAATTTTAGTAAATCTTTGAGAGAAATTAAGATTGTAAATTTAAATATTAAAATAGATAAGTAAGTATGTATAAATTTTTATATAAAAATATTGATAACAAATACTAATATGAAAAAATTTTGTAACATGAAAATAGGTAGCAATTTATAAACATTAGCAATTTGCTGGTAGAATAAAATAAAACTATTTGAAAAATTTCCTAATACTGCATATTCAGTCTATACCCGTTAGCATGTTGTGAGTATCGTATAAAAGTAAAGATAGACTGCTTGTTCCAATCGTAAGATTCGCTAGTATACAAACGACGTTTTCAGTAAAACTTGGTCGTGACATAGATGAACGAATCTCGTTGTAGTGGTACCCCCCATGCCATAAGAGTGCAAGACCTACTCCCGAATGGAAATTAAAAGAAGACGTAAACTGGGGCCAAGCTTGGCTGCCATGCTACCTACCTTGGCCGCAGCTTAGCACTTTAGTTAACATACATTTTCCTGTATTATAGAGTTATCTCAGTCGGGCATTCCACACACCCCCCCTTACCCCCATTCNAAGTCCCAGCGGACTGCTCAGTTGATGATGGTGTAGTTGCTGATGTAGCTGTTGCTGCTGCTCGTTCTCGCTAGCCTGCACACTCGCCGGCGTTTTCGCTGTGGTGCTCGAGACAACGACAGGATGGTGCCTTTGTATGTCCTCGTTGTCGACGTCGCCCACGACACCACCGCCACGCTCCTTGTTGTCATTGTCCTCGTTGGCGTCACAGCCGTTGCCAACATCATCGTCGTCCTCGTCGTCGGTGGCAGCTGAGGCCGCGGCCAGGCAAGCGCTGCTCTCCTCGAGGGTAAAGTAGACACTGGCTGCGCCCTCCTCACGCAGCCGCTTGACCGACTGGAGAAGCCGAAGCCGGTGGCTCTGCTTGAACACGCCTATGGCGTCGAGGTCCGGCTCGCTGATCTGCTTGCAGATCTCGAGGTCGTCGTAGCCGTTGTCGAGGAACGACTCGGCGTACTCGCCGAGGTAGAGCGAGCGTAACCACTCGACGACGATATTGCTGCTGGTGATGCTCATTGTCCGCCCGACGTCATCGTCGCCACGGCCGTCGTCCTCCTCCTCCTCCTCTTACTCCTCTCCGTAGCGCAGCTCCCAGCCAGCAACGACAGCCCCGAGCTAGCCGGCTGGCAGCGGTGTCGTCGTCGTCGGGCCTGCAAATGCTGGACCATCAGCAGCGTCGTCAGCGGTAGCAGCAACAGCAACAGTCAGCATGACAGCCGTGCACCCGCTAACTCGCTCGCCCCCTGGCGATGGTGTTGCTCGGAGCAACTTGCTCCTCCCGCTCCTGAGAGAGGAGCTGATGCTGCACACGCGATGGAGATGATGACGAGAGAGAGAGAGAGAGAGAGAGAGAAAGATCGGAGATATATTACATAGGGGCACTATGTATAGGCACTGATGGGTACAAGGTAGATAGGATGATTATGGGGTAGTTTTGCACGTCGCATACACACGTAGACACGTAGGGGCAAGCGCGAAGCACGTGCACACACGTATATATTATAGGTATAAGTACGCGATGGCCGTGGTTCAACGGGGCCGCGGGGGCAGCCGTCGCCCGTCACGCACGTTCCTCGTCAACAGGATCGCGGTCCATCTCCGCATCGGTGGCTCATCTGCTCTCGAAGCAAAGTATATATAACTCTCAGCTCCCAGCTTCCAGCATCAACATTCAACATCAGCTCATCTTTTATTTCTTTACTTTCGAGCACAGTATAATACACCTACCCTGCCCAACACACCTATCATGTGCACACAGACACACTACACTGCGCACCCTTTATTATTATTATCCGGACTCCGAAACTCCGAAAGCGGCGACACAGCGGCTCCTTCAGAGGGTCTTTCAGACGGAGAGACTCTTTTTTTTCTCCTCTCTCTCTTTCTCTTTCTCTTTCACAGATGTGTGTGTATAATATATATATATATATATATATATATATATAGTATATAATTCTGTTTTCAGAATAATTAACTTAATTAAATGCGAATATTGCTCCTATGTTTTTGGTAATAAGGAAAAATTACTGGATCATAAATAAAAGCATAAAAAATCATTTTTTTAACTTGCAAAATGTAACATCATCATAAAATCAAAAGATCATTATTTGCGTCATGTATCGGAACATGAAAATGGTAAAATTATACTATGTATTGTCTGTGGAAAAAAATTTAAGAGACAAACATATTTACGCAACATAAAACGATTCATCAGTCCGATGATAATATAGTATGCTCGGAATGCGGGAAAAAATTTTCAAGAGAAGATTCGTTATAAAGATATTGCAGAAACATTCACAAAACTGTAAGTAAAATGATGTTTATTATCATTAATTAACACGTATAGAATATTGGATTTTAGTAAAACATTTACGTATTTTTTTTATTTCAGACAATAGATTAAATGTTTTAAGATAATTTAATGTTACTTTGACCTATACAGGAATCACAAATTGAGACGAAAACAAAATTTGACGAGGCGATGTAATTTTCCAACAATTACTTTACTGTATAACTAAAAAAGTTAAGAATAAATAACAATAAAATTATAAATACAAAAATTAAAAAAATACTTTTCTTGTAAAATACTTAAAACAATACATCATAGCTCTGTATCATGAAACAATTATGTTTTCATAATATAATCGTGCAATACAAATATAACATTAAATTATTATCGTTTAGATTATAAACTTTACTTTTTTAACATCACAACTGCACGCTATGATAGTAATTATATTTCAACAGTAATGTTTACTCCATAAAGAAACTGAATAATATCATAAGACTAAGATCAATAGGTCAAATACAGTAACACTTCCATCTTTGGCTTCAAAAGGTTTTGATAATTGGGTTCCACGACAAAGCTGTTTATCAAAAATTTTTTTTTCCAAATCTAGAAGTTGAGAAATTTTAGTTACATGATTTTAATTACATAAGTTTATACGTAATAAAATTTTTGTTGACAATGTTTCCTTTCCTTTAGTCTTAGTTACATCTCTATATACCTCTCAAGTCTAATATCAATTGTAGCTTGATGATATAAAAATATTAACTTTATAATAATGTTTATAAGAGTACCCTGTAAACTGCAAATTTTAGGCTACGGTTACATAAAAAGGATGTAGCCAGAGTTACAGCAGAAAAAAAAAGTCCCCTCACCTTCATTTTAATAAAATTACACGTTCACGCTCTGACTTCCGTTACCGAGTGGAAAAGTAGTGTTGAGTAGTATTGAGATGTAATCAAAAAATTAATCACCAGGAGGCAGCATGTGTATGTAGAGTACTATATTATGCCACTGGTATATGTATATTCCATACGACACCAAGAAACGGCTTAAAATTAAATTAAATTATAGCATACTGAATAAAAGATTACACACCCGTTGGTTGTGTAAGTCATTGATATCACAATTAAACCTGACGAGGTTTTTGACTTTGCCAATGATAATAGCATATACGTGTATAGTAACACGGCAATGCAGAGTTGTTATATCGTTCGTCAGAATGGTTGTAAAATGTAAAAAAATTCCTAATTTTCATTTTATTTCTACCAAGTTAATTAATTTGAGCCTTCCTTAGCCACTATCCGCTACTCCTAAGCTCCATGATATGATTTATTTAAAAGTGAAGTATTTAATCGATTCAAAAGTTGGGGGTTGGCATGCGAAGCGCGCAGGGGGGCGGAGCCCCACTAGTGTATATATATATAATAATGGATAGTGACTCATTCGGACTTCATGTGCTTCTAACATATATATCAATAACATGGTAGAATTATGCGGAAGTCCGCATAATTCCATTTTTGGCCTCATTTTTCTTTCGCGGCCCTCGGACGCACCACGAGAGTACATTTATCAACAGAAGCAAGTAAACAAACTATTACGCCAAAGGCAAGAACAAACAAAAAAAAATAAACAAAAACATAAACATGCGCACGAGTAAAGGTGAGAAATTATAACAATAGCATACGAACAAAACAGAAAGCATACAAGAGGCGCGCTTGTTGTTTTCTAACGAAAAATGTAACAAAAAAATGTAGCATAAAAATAATAATAAAAATAATGTTTATTATAACAATAATAATAAAAATAATTAAAACAGAAAGCATACAAGAGGCGCGCTTGTTGTTTTCTAACGAAAAATGTAACAAAAAAATGTAGCATAAAAATAATAATAAAAATAATGGGAATAATGACGATATAAATTGTAAAGTTTATGCTGCTATCAATGTTAGAGATCATGACATCTAATTGATATTTATGATAACGTTGACGTTACGCATAATAATGATGATAATATTGCCACTGATAATGATACTGATGATAGAGGTGATTTGAATAATATTGACAATGATAATAAAGATAACCATAAAAATAATAATTATAACAATAACAATAATAAGGATAATAATGTAGATAAGGATAGTTATGACAATAATGATAAAATAAATAGCGATGGTAGTGATGATAACGATTATGACAGTTGATTATAAGACACTGTACGGAAAGGTATTCTGAGCATGACTTTATTGATAATAATGTTTATTAGAAGAATAGTGCAAACGATGTTTATAGTAGTTATGTTTACAATCGTAGTAACGATGATAATAGGAAAAACGACGATGATTAAAATGACAAAAATAATAATAATGATATAGATAATAAAAATGATTATTATGATGATGGTGTTAATAATAATAATGCTGCTAATAATAGGAGCAATAAAAATAATAATTAGGATGTAAGAATGTTGATAGTAATAATAATTATTATTATAACGATGTTAATGATAACTATGAGAACAATATAAGTATTAATATAAATGCTGCTTATAAGGATAATAATGGTAACAACAACGATAATATCAACAATGATTACAATGATAAAAAGAATGATGGTCATAATATTATGAATAATAATAATGCTATTGATAAAAATGATGATGTTTTAGATATTGCTTAAAATAATTATGCTAATGGTGATAGTAAAAATAATAATTATAATTCTGTCAACAATCAAAAACGGTAATAATAATGATATCAAGAGCTGTAGAAATTATGATGTTAATAGTAAGTATGATAAAAATAATTGCGATGTAAAGAACAGAAATTGTTATGATAATGTAACTTATGATGATAATGCTTATAATAATAATAATGATAACGATGTTGAAGATGATAATAAATGTAACAATAAAGATAATATAAATAATGGTACTAATGCGACAAATAATAAAAATGGTAATACTAGATTTAATAATAATCTTGATTATAAGGCTAACCATAAAGTTAATTATAATTATTATAATAATAATAAAAATANAATAATTAAAACAATAATGATAACAATGGCAATAAGATAATAAGCAGGTAGCGTTACCAAAATAAAAGCAAGACACTACAATTAACGAAAAATTACATAACACGTATAAACATGAAAGAAATTAGTCTGTAAGCATGGAACACGCAGGGTCAATCAGACGAACAAAAATCAAGCGTAAGAGGTCTTAGGACCACTGACAGAGTCAAAGGTGCCTCATATATGTCGCAGCGAAACATTATCCGACAATAATTATACCAATAATGTCGGTAGATACCCACATACATATACATGCCAAAGCATACACGAGCGCCCACATACTAACCCACCCACACTATGTAACTGTACATTGTTTGCTGAAAGAAAATAAGTAATAATGAAATAAAAATCAATAAACTTGACAAAAACGAACAAAATAAATATAGGTTAAAAAAATAGTATTTATTCGAGCAGAGTATAGCAGTATATACAAAGTTTAGACACAATCCGTATGAATATATATTCTAGTATTAATTAATGAATAATAAAATTTTTTTGCTAGTATTGTAAAAATAACTACAAAGTACGTTTGGCACAGCTTAGAGTATTTTGACTCTTTCTTGATCCGCGTTTTAACTGGTTCTAACTATAGTTAAACAATCATGTGTATTTGTATGTTCATCTTACTTAAAAAATGAAAATATGGGTTTATAAT